TTCTCTCTGCATGGTTTTTAATTGTAGCACCCCCCACCCCATCTAATGTGGTAATGTGGTCCAACTAGCATGAAACAATTTTCCTTCTATATATAACCTATAGAATTTTATGGAGTGTGAATAATATATTATTTTCTCTCTACATGGTTTTTAATTGTAGCACCCCCCACCCCATCTAATCTTGTAGTTAACATTTAGAAAAGGATGTGGTTTGTATAAAGTTGAGGCCCTAAAGGATCAGAGTAAGGCGCAACTTCAAATAGTGTCAAAAGATGTCGTTTCAAAGCCAAAAATATTTATAAAGACCCTGAAATTTTTATATCTCTAACTATAAAATTTAAAGCCTAAAAACTAGTGTAGATCTAGTAAATCTATGAAACACGTGAAAATCTTTAAAATTGACGGACTAGATAATGCGTTACAATATACACTATTCTAAGACGTGAAGTCACTTTTTTCTTTTACGTTCATGTGTATATATATATATATATATATATATGGGGTTGTGGTTTGTATAAGGCTGAGGCCCTAAAGAATCAAAGTATGGCGTACTTCTAAATAGTGTCGAAAGATGATTTCTTAGTTGCAAAAATCTTTATGATGCCCTGAAAATTTATTCTTATCTAATAAAATTTAAAGCTTCAAAAATAATATTGATTGAGTGGATCTATAAACACTCAAAAATATTGAAAATTGATGGCCTAGATAATGCATTACAAAATGCACAATTTCCAAGACTTTAAATCTGTTTTTTTCGTCTATACATCTCAACCTTGAGATGATTAATTTGATGGCTTTTCGACATCGAAACAGCCTCTTGTACTGAAATTTCGAGGTCCACCTTAAAAATTGGATGGGATCAAGTTTTGCTTGATTCAGTCAGATCTGAGCAGGATGTAATTCTGACCTACAGACCCAACCTCGAATGGGAGATCAAATAAAAACTGGAATCCAAAATTGGATCTGGATCATTGGGCTCGGCCGGATTACAGGGACTTACTTTATTTAATTTAAAGTAATGTGTTTTTTCAGGTTTTGCTAATGAATTGAAGAGCTTGCCAACCATTAGAGAAGGTGGTAGGAGAGAGAAGCAAGTGGGTGGGGATGAGGCGGGCAGGCTCAAAGACGGGCGTCGATGCGGATGATCCGCACTTGTTTTTGCTTTGCGTTGTGAGTGGATTGTGAGGACCACTCCCCTTGTGTACATGCACTCCTTTCTGCACTTTTCATACCATTTCGAAAAATCGGAGGTGCTTTCTTGCCTAACTATGACGGTGACTCGGTTCTACACTTTCCTGTATTTTATGGATAGCGATTGTACGTTCTTCTTTAGTGTTATTAAATTGTTCTTTTTACTTCTTTCTTGTTTATTTAAGCAAGTATTAGGGTGTGGAGGATGGCTGGTCCATTCAACCGAGCTAAGTATTCAATAATCTATTTTTGGATCGCTAGTGTAGAACATTTATATACATGGATGGCTGGGATAGATGTAGCGATAATATCACAAATGAGCCACTTACTGTTAATCTATCACTGACATCTTAAAGAATTTTATTTTTAATATTTCTCTACAAATCCTATGAACATGAAATTGCCTGTGTCGTTATATCAATGGAGTGCACCTAAAAAATATAAAAATATTTCAAAAACATAAAATGACCACACTACCCCTAAAACATTCAAGGGTATTTTGGCAACTTTATTTATTAGAAATCAAATTTTTATATTTTCTTAGGTGCGACCCTAAGAGAGAATTGGATGTCGCAAATTTATTGTTAATATTGTTTCAAAAAAATTAAAAATAAACTGTGTTTAGTCATGATATTATGATTGGGTTCATCTCAGTCGTCGATTCGGATCGACATGATGTTGGGATTGGGATCATCCCAATCGTCAATTTAGATTGGATGGCTGGGAGAAGGGTGGCATGTATGAATAACCTATACCTAGTTGTGTATAGAAAGCTTTCCCTCTTTTTTTTGGAGAGATTTATTGCCAGAGCATTGAAAATTTTCTCCTTTTTATTTATTTATTATTATTGCTATTGCTATTGCTATTGTTATTGTTATTGTTATTGTTATTGTTATTGTTATTGTTATTGTTATTGTTATTGTTATTGTTATTGTTTGTGTTATTATTATTATTATTAGGGAAAGTATATAATGAGATAATTTACCTTTGGTATAAGGTGGTCACAATTAATCATGACCATTGAGTGTGAAATTGGGCAGCTCCGTTTATTTCATTGACCAAACCCAAGTTTTTTTTAAAAAAAATTTATTGAACTTTGTGACACAACCAAGCTCTCAAATTTCACATCGGATGGTTATAAAGTAATTGTGACCTCCTTGTACCAAAAGTAAATATTTTTACTTTATACTATCCTTTTTTTTTCTTATCTATTTGGTAATTTATGAGGTAAGTTGACAAATGAAATATAGCAGGTTATATGTTTGCTCATTGTCAGCGGGTAACCTTTTGAATAGGACATGGATACGTGATCTTCAACTAAATCAACGATTTTTCAAGCCATAACCTGTAATAATTTTATAATTCTTTATTTTAATAAAAAACTAGTTGGTCATCTTCTCTGGCACCTCTTCCTCTTTAAATTACCCACGAGAAAATTACCGAAGCAAACTTACCAAACACGAGATGGTCATTTTCTTCTGGTCGTCTTTAAATTACGAAAGAGTGCTGGGTCTAGTGAGTGATCAAAAGGGGTTGGGTCGTGATGGTAGTATTAGTCACCACATTATGGTTTCCATTCTTACCACGAACACGATCTTGTTAAGATCTTCAAAAATCTAACCCCTAATCTACTTATATATATAT